AAAGGGTCTTGCAGATGTATTATGTTAAGGATCCTGAGGTGGGGAGGTTATCCTGGATTATCTGGGTGGGTCCAATGTCATATTAAAGTCCTTATAAGAGTTGACAGGAGGACGTGGTTCCATAGTATAGTGGTTAGCACATCTACTTTACATGCAGAAGGTCCTGAGTTCATGCCCTAGTGAAGCCATGGTCCATGGTCTATGGCCATACCACCCCGAATAAGCCTGATGTCTGATCTCAGAAGCAAAGCAGAGTCAGGTCTGGTTAGTATTTGGATGGGAGACCACCTAGGAGGACCAGGTGCTGTAGGCATAAATAATAATAATAATAAAAATTAAAAGAGCTGGCAGGAGATGTGACAACAGAAGCAGAGGTCAGATTGTTGTCCTTGCTGTTGTCCTTGTTGGAAGGGGGGCCACCAGCCCAGGAATGCAGGTGCCTCCATAAGCTGGAAAAGGTAAGGAAATGAATTATTTCCCCGGAGCCTCCAGAAGGATCACAGCCCTAAAGACATCTTGGTTTTTGCCCAGTGAGACCCATGTTGGACTTCTGACCTCAAAAAAGTAAGATAATATATTAATGTTGTTTTAAGCCACTAAGATTATGACTATTTGTTACAGCAGCCATAGGAAACTAACAGTAATAATTCTGCTATCCATTTCTCCTTTCTCCCATAAAAATCCTAGTTCTCAAGGACACAGGAGAAAACAGAATTACAGTATCTCATAATTATTTATTTGCTTTAATCAAAATTGCACACATGACAGTCTCAAAATAACAACGTCAATGCTCCCACCAATATGTGACTAAAAGCACTTTGAAACTCTCTCTTTGGGGAGTGACATCGGAAGTATTGCATAGTGAGGGGTCTCCCCAGATCTCTCCCCTTGAAATAATAACAAGCTGAACATCTAAAACTCAACAAATAACACCCAACCCGCACACAAGGAAGTCTGAGAGATCTGCTCGTAAGAGCTTCAAAAAGTGGGAACTGCGTGAGTCTGGGAAGTAGATTAGGAGAAACGAGGAGCTGCCATATGCAGCCAGAGCTCCCTGCAAGAGAGGTGGGGAGAATTTGCTGCTGGATCCCAGAACAGCCCTGCCTGAGGGATCAGAGAGTTCCATGCAGCAGAGCCCAGGGATCGGGGCAGAAAGTGGAGTGGGAACTAAGCGCGGAGCGGCAACAGCTGTGTCTTAGCCTCTGACGTTGCCAAGCGGGAGGCTAAGACAGGGGAGACTAGCAGCAACTGCCACCCACCAAGGCAGAGTGCACCTCTCCCTCCGCCTCTATATTCTCCCAGATATGGTGCTGAAACTTAAACCACAGCCCGTACCTTGGACAGGCGCTAGGACCAAGGGGATCTGATTGCAGATCGAATATACTGTAAATCAGACAGAGAGAGAGAAAAAAAAATCATTTTTAGCCTGAATGCAGGATCCAAGAGGCTTGGATGCCACCTACTGGAAATCAAAAGAAAAACCCCTTCTTATCAATGGGCTAAAGAGAGACTTCTATAAAATCTTTTTGAAAAAAAATAGAGTACACTCCCTTTAAACCTAGGCAGAGAAATAGTCCATCAAACACCATAAACAAGCAAGGTGATGAGGCAGCTCAGAAAGAAAGAGTAAAATCTCCTGAAAATAAAGACATAGGAATATGCAATTTAAATGACAGAGAATTCAGGATTGCTCTTCTAAAAAACTCGGTAAGATGCAAGTAAAATTTGATCAACGATTCCAAGAACTTAGAATCAAAAGAGTCCAAAAAAAATGAGTTTTTTAGCAAGGAGACCGAAACTCTAAAAATAAACCAAATAGAACTTCTGGAGATGGAGAACACATTAAAGAGATAATGAAATAGCAAGCTTGGGAAATACAGCCGACCGGATGGAGGAAAGAATTGGTGATATTAAAGACAGAAATCTGGAAATGACTCAGAAGGAAGAGAGAGACCTGAGAATGAAAAAAAAA